TATTTAAAAGGCACCAAATTCATATAAATGAGTGCTTGTCTGCACTTAAAAGCAAATTAACTAATTGTGCATGAGCAAAACTGTATATTCTGCTGTTTTCTTTCTGTTAACTATTCGGCACTCATTATTTTCCAGACAGACAGAAATTCTCCACATCAAGACAGTCTACACATGGTTTCGTTTTCCCTGTCTTTTATAAAAGAGCTCTGCATAGAGCCAAGAGCAGACAATAATAGTGTCATCAGTGTTTATTTGCCCTCAACGTCATATAAATCAACCCCTAAATGAAGGTATATAGTTGTGTAGAATATCCTGGCCTACTGTTTTACTGCAGTGCATACTGTGCTTATATCCTTATCACCAGTGCAGCACATACTCTTCATACTTAGAAATATGCTGATCGAGATCCACGCAGAGGTCTATTCTGCATATAAAATGGAAGACAACAACAGAAACACATTTTTTTTCTGATATTAATTAAATATCATAAAACATGTTTTCTCTCATAACAACATTGTGATATACAGAGGATTGTTTTGCTCATCTGAAAAAAAAAACAGTTTGTCCTTTCCGCTACAACATGTCATATCTTCACACGATCTCTCTTTATCTCTCTTTGTTTTCTTCTTTCATTTTTTTCTTTTTAACATGTGGTCTGACTGACAGTCACGCTCCTGAGAAGTATAGCTACAAACAAAGACAGACTATAATTTGTCAAGTAATCATAAATCCTTGTTCTTGTTATATTGATGGCATCTATCTATCTATATCTACTATTTCTATATCTTGCTCTCTCTCTATATATATATATATATGCTGCCCACCCTGCGATATCCACAGAAGGCTTGGAGACTGACAACGCACTTTACCAAAGAACCAATAAACCAAATAATCACTGATAAACCAAAAAATTCCCCAACAATTCTCAAAATAAGGCATTGAAAAGGCTCTGTTGAAATGCGCTGATTAAATGTCGGTATGGCGTTTATGTAGATGCAAATTCACAAAGGCTGCCAGTTGTCATCCAACCTGAGCTCAAGCGTTCGCACACAAACTATTTTTGTGGCAGAGAGATCAGTATCTCATTTACGTCCTGTCTCCTGTGGTCAGGAAATATCGCAGTTTCACATCACTTTAATCTGAACTGATAATTCATAGATCATGGCCAACCGCACACATTCAGACATCAAAAATGAAGAGAGCATAAAGCCCAAAACATATTAGGCCATGAAATAAAAGCCTTCAGCTTTTTTATGTGAATCTTTATAGCTTAAATTTCATTCCTACTTCCATGATGGAACTGAAGTTTTAGCCATGTTATGCAGTGTAAGTATTCTTACACAGTTTTGAAATTAAAATGACATTCTCTGTGGTCGTGGCCTGGTTAGTACAAGCATTGATATTGGTTACTGGTTAGTAATGCATTCACTGTGTCCGTAATCGAATACTGTAGGTACTACATTTGGTTTGAAGCTTCCTTTGCCACTGTTAAAAAACAATGTTCTATATATAGTGTGTGTAATATTAATGAAATTTGGAGGTACTATATTCGCCGTGACCTATGGCATCAATTGCGTTGCTTCACTGCCAATCACATATTCTCTCCCGTGGCCTCATGGGAAAGTAAAGTGTCCATTGGGTGCGCAGAACGTCGCCGGAAGTTGTAGGTCATCTGGGTACTTTCGCCTACTGGTTTACTATGAATTTGGACATATATGACTTGCTCACATACTGTTTTTCGCCAACTATTGTATGGAAATGCTACTGTGGGTATTGGGTATTGTAGTTCGAAGCTGGCACGCAACATTTCTCAATACTTTTCTTCTCACTCTAACTTCTCCCCTCTATACCGAAAATACAATCAGTGTCACCTTCTAATTGAACAGAATTACTAGTATGGCACATATTTAGTATTAGAGATTTGAATAACCCTTGTGCAGCAACTTTCGCAGGGACAAGCCCATCCAGTGACAAAAAGTGTATTTTTAGTCATCCTGTCTTTGTTTAGGAACACTTATGTTCATTCATAATTCAGAGACACAGCAAAGTTACCAAGGGATTGCTTGTTGTTACTGGAAATATAAGAGAAACCGACTGGATGTTTAAACATGTTTAAAAAGTCAAATGGCTACACTTGAACACCTATGACCACTATGACTTCAAATAGAAGAGCCGAGTAACTCGTGCGTGCACACACACACACTATGCACAGAGAAAAAGAGGAAGAGAAAGAGAAAGAGTTAGAAATGATACTTTCAGGATCTCCTGCCTGTTACTGGAAAGCTCTCACTTCTGTTTGAATCTGCAAATGTGAGTTCATGGGTATACCTCAACATATTAGCAATTGAATGTGGAAGTATGAGTGTGTGAATGTGTTTTTGGGTGTAAAAAATTCATTCTCCATAAGAAGGTGGCGTTCATGCTGTAAAGGTGAATACAGTCAATATATTGATTAAGATATCATTATTTAGTTCTTGGTTCATATTCAGCTGCAGCATGTTAACCCAGTTCATGTGAAAAGACTGGTTTGATGACCAAACAACTATTGTTTTTACCCAACTGAGAAAAAAGGAACTTTTGGTTTTGAGCTATAGTTCAAGTAAATGATCTAATGTGCATATGCACTTCAGTTATGAGAACACAGCCTCAAAAAAGTCGATTGCAACAGACCAAGATAAGCACTCTTTAATCCAAGCACTGATGAATGGGAAGTTTACTAGCCTGCTTTTGATGACAGAAATACAGGTAAGGATTTTTTTAACCACGAATATACTTTTAGATGAGTATGAAATTGTGTAATAAGCTTTCAGCTTTTGCAATTCACAGACATATATATTTTATATTAAAATTAGCCAAATTCAAAAATCACCAGTGACAGAAGTGGAAAATATAGGCTATTTATATTTATTTAAGATAATTTGGGTGAATTCATGAAATAAAGCACTACTGTTTGAAAAAAAATCAAATTTTTCTATTATATTGAACTTGCAAAGACTGAAACCGCATTGATAATACGATATGATATAGGGAAAAATATAATTGATAAGTTATCATGAAGTGGTAATTTAACAATTTTCAAAAACCAACTTTGTTATAAGCGTCTCTGAAGACTTCCGAAACAAAAATGACCTTTATCCTGATTTTTATATGGATTTAAAGATCATCTCAATATAGAATAGACAGATAATCAGAAACCAAAAAGACTAGAGATAATTATATTCTCAACACGTTTTTATCCCTGAGATTCTTTGAGAAATAACATTTAACCTAAAAAATAAACATGAAGTTTCGGAATATGTTTCAAGAAAATCTGAACTAAAATTGTTTTGCTATTAGGCCTAAGCATAAATAGCTATAGCTACATTTAGTGCATTTATGCTTAAAACAAGAAAAACATAACACAAAAAATTTATTAGATTTATGAAAACAAGTTACCCTCTCAAGTAAATTTGTCTTGTTGCAGTACGTGTTTTACACTGTTAAACCGTTTTTTGTTGCTGTTGTTGTTGTTTTTTGCTTTGCTTATTGGAGTGCATTCACACGTGAAGGCCACCAAGAGTTGTTGCGGTGAAAACACATTTTAAGTCAGTGTAGGAACAAGGAGTGATGTAAAACATGTTTTTGTTTCTTTTGCCCTTTCAGCTCTCACCTACGTTCGCTCCTGTAATTCACCGCAGCTAAACATAGCAGCCGTACGGCAAGCAACCTCTAAATGAAAGCGTAAACTTAAAATTGGCAGAAAAACATAAGAAACTAAACTAACTTTTACAAACTACACACATTTTAAAGTCAATTTCCGACTGAACGTGTTTAGTTTGACCACATCTCTTTCCCCCAACGCCCCTCACACAAGCCTTTTAAGCTCAGGGAAATCCCTTTCTTAGCAGTTTCCTGGCAGTTGCGAGAACGGTGACAGAGTGCTGCGTCTGTGCTTTACGCCGCGTCGCTCCATTAGTGGGTTAAGGGTAGAGGTAGATGGTCAGGTTTACCGCAGAATCTTAGTTTTATGTACAGTTATTGTACAAAACGTGTGCCATGAAGATCTAGAGCGATTATCAAGATTTGCACCTGTTCCTTGAGGTGCTCCATTAATTAAAAGATGGATTTTGAATTCTCAATTTAAAGATGGATTTGGAGGTCACCATGCTTTTGTCTCAAACAGTAAGCAATTTTATATATACAACTTTGTGCTTTAAAAAAAAAAAAAAAAAAAAAAGAATTGTGTGCATCCTTCATTTTTAGATGCTTTGTTACGTTTTCAAAATAACTTTTAAAGTTAAGTTTGTCAGTTTCTATGTTTTAAACACGTCTAACTGTAGACTCAACCATGAGTTTTACTCAGGACAATCCGACTGTGTTGCACAATCTGTTTGCCGGACCAATGGTAGACGGGAGTAGTGTTCAGGAAAACAATCTTTATTTTTTACAATTCTGTTTCATTTGGTGGCGCAGAAATGACTTTAAAAACCATTAAGCTTTAAAGTTTGCTGTGTGGATGCACAATTTTTTAATGACAGGAAAAATGTACTGTAAGAAAAATGAAATTCTGTACTTAAAAGCAATAAGTGTTTCCCAGAAGCATGTTTGTGGTGTGTTTTTGTGTTTGCTTTTATAACAGCATAATGTCATTCCCCTCAAATGAAAATTCTGAAATTACCTCACCCTCATGTTTTGTTCCAAACTGTAGGACTTTTTTCCTTCTGTGGAACCCAAAATAAGATATTTTGAAGATTGCCTTGTTTTTTTTGTTTTTTTTTTAAAGTCGGAGAGGTTCAATGTTGTTTGTACCCCAAAGTTCTTCAAAACAAACAACTGCAGGGTGAATAAACAATGACAGAACTTTCTTTTTTGGGGGTGAATTGTCCCTTTAAATTGAATGGTTCTAACCACCAACACTGGTTTGTAAATATTCAGATATCTTGGAAGTAACCAGAAGAATCACCTGCTGTAAAAAAAAAAAAACCCAACCGCCTGGCCTCTGATCGTGCATCTCAGCTACAATGTTCTCCACATGGATTCTGCATATGGTTTCATTCACTCTGCTGATCAGACGGGGCATTGGCAACCAGTGTCTTTATTATGAAGTCACGCCTGGGAAAGGTGAGAGAGAAAGATAACACCTACAGACATTATTGCATTCAATTCTCTTTTGTAAAACCTGTGTAGTTCAGGCCTGTGTCCATCAGATAGACCTTATCGGTGGTCTCTATAATCTTATTGTGGCCTCCGTCCTGGACTCATACATATAAATTGTATTATCCCATCAAAAATAAACCCTTATCTTGGACCTAGCTAGACAGTCAATAGAGATTTTCCTTTGTAGACACTTTTTGCAGATTTGCAGTTCCAAAGAATTTTAGAAATTCACTTCTAAGTAATCTTGAGAGCCTTGCTGAATCTAATAATAGTATATAAAACTCCCTTTAAATTTAGCAATCCAATAAATGGCATCATCCAGAGCTTTGTCAGAAGTTCCTGTCTGTGGTCACACACGTCTGTGAGAAAGCGATGCTCTTGGAAACAAAGTTTGTCTTGTAATGTGACATCCTAAAGGCACCAAGAACAGTAAATATAAAGATAACTATAACAATATCTATATTAGCAGGATGGATTCTGATTGGCTGTCATTGTTTTTTATCTTTTATCCCCTTATTCAAGTGTGCTATTAGTATACTACTTTTAAAGTCCCCCTGTGGTGTAAATGCAGTTTTTACTGTTGTTTAAATGTCTATGTGGTGTTTTTAATATGCTTTAAGGCAAACCATGTCAACATTCACCATTGCTGGGTATTTTCTCTTTAAAACTTCAGTGATCTAAAGACAGTCTTAAAAACTAAGTTTGAAATCACTGGTGTTTCTGACGTCACAGACTACCTTGTAACCAATCACGCCAAAATACGGGTGGGCTTTAGCATATCATTAACTATGCTGTGAAGCTGCTGGGGAGTCTTAAGAGAAGCCATGCAGGTTATCCCGGTATATTTTTCTGTTAATATGAAAAAATCGCGTAGATTTAGCAATATAGCGGCGGGTGTACGATGCATTATGATGTTATGATGAACTATATGCCTTTCTAAGCTCAAAGCATTTCTAAGGATACTGATTGTTAAGCTCAATTTGTACTTCTGCGTCAAACTCACTCCATCTAGGCCTATGTCGTAGGCTGTGTAGCGCGTATCCTTCGGTGTACCCTGACTTGCACCTCTCCAAAAATGTAACAACGCATCAATTCCACAAGCGCTGTGATTGTCTGCTTCAACCCATCCTCGGTTTCACATACTTCCTCTGCTTGTGTAATTGCACGTCAACGCGGAAAACACTGCAGAAGTATAAATAAGCTTTTTCGACTTGAACCGGCGCTGCACAAACCGATCGGTGAATGACATAAAAATACTGCGAGAGCCAGGGCCGTCGCTAGTGGGCTGAAAGGTGGTGACAATTATAGGGGCCCCCGCTGCCCAGGGGGCCCCACAAAATCCAGCAGTTATACTATTTAGGCCCCTGTAGTATGAATAATTCTAATATTTATATTAGTTGTATGCCTGAGATTTAAATGAAAACCACAAAAACGTGCAATTTGGGTAAATATTTTTCCAAATATCTGCTTCTCTTACCTCCATAAAAATGGTTTAGTCCGACCTAAAGTATTTATTAATTATTCAGTCAGAGTCAGTGACAAACATCAGATGGACCCAATAAAATTGTAAGTCCCACCCCAGCTCGTGAACAGAACCAATCAGAGTTGAGGCGGCAGCCTGAAGTTAACGATGAACTTGGTGGAAGAGCAGGAGACTAACTGACTGAAAAATGTCGGGGAAAAGAAAACATAAATCAGGGAACCAGAAATGCCAGGAAAAGACGGAGAGGAAGGCAAGGAGAGTGGTTGTATCCCAGTCGATCAAGACGTTCTTAAAGACCGGTTATATATTGTTATTTCGCTGGGAATTAGAAAACTTCCGTCTACAGTCTGCCGTGTACAGTCATTTTTTATTATCGGTGCGCGCCACAATCGACCGAATGATTACGTGGTGTAAATTCCTGTCTTTTTACACTATTGTAAATAGAGTTTTAAAAAAATTCCACGAGTCACGACGCATTGCATAATGCATCTGACCTGCCGGCTGATGATATTTAAAACATCGAGAAAACACAAATACAACACACTGCACTTGGATGAATAAATGTATTCGCTTTATTTAATAATATTACCAGTTCCATATTATCTTTATTAAAAAATAAGACAATGAATGGTTTTATTTTTTTAATTAGACTGCATTCTTGTCAATTTCTAAATGTTTACTTTTTGATTTATGAATTATAACAGACTGATGGGGGGAAAAAATTATTACTTTTTAAAAATTGGTTTTATTATTATTTAACAATTTCTTGCTTTATTGTTAGCTTTTATTAGTTGTAATTTTTATATAAATATTTAACTTTTAAAATAAAGGTTTTACAACAACATCACCATCTTCTGTTATGTGGGCCTCCATGTTCATCTATTGTACAGTATATGATATTGGTGGAGGGTGGTGGGGGCCCACATCAATATTTTTTCAGGGGCCCCGAATCCTCTAGCTACGGCCCTGGCGAGAGCAGACGGCTCTGTGTGCTTTTCAATCGCTCTCGTGGTACTTTGATGTCATAAACCGATCGGTCTGTGCAGTGCCGGTTCAAGTCGGACAGGCCTAGTGAAAACCGACGCATAGCCTCACGCAGAAATAAATCAGCGTTTAGAAGGCAGCTGACTCTGAGATGGTGAAGGGGAACATTGTTTGTGTAGCCTAACATTAGCAACACAACTGTTTGATAACGTAGTCAAGCTAATCATATTACAGTTTTTCTCGATTGCTTAAACACATTTCTTGAAACTATGCCTCGTATTATCAAAACAGTAAACACAAACCCATAACGTCTCACCCAATTCCCCAAACATCCTATTTTCAGGTCAAAATGAAGCTCTACACTCAAAACCAGTCACTCTTGCTGAAAAACCAAACGTTGCCCTCAGACGGGACACACAAGCCCTCAAAAATACACACACTACAACATAGTCTTACACACTGGTGCTATAAATTCAAAACAACATTTCCAAAACTGGTAAGTCATGTTGCTTGCTTTTTTACTCTCTCCTACTCTTACGTAAGATGTGTGTGAGCATCATATGACAGTAAAAGAGCACACACAAACCTTATTCAAATATGGAATTGTATTGGAATGGTAAAGAGTGTTGGTACATGCCTCCACTCAAGGATACAATATGATGAACAAGTCTAAGAATGTTCCACATATGGTTGAAATACCATCATTGGCCTAGAAAGATAACATTCTGGGAGTCAAGACTATAAAGGAGAAAGGATGCCCTCCCTTCACTGTCACACTCTGCAGCCACTCTGTGTGACTGTACGACTGCTGGCCTTTTCTTGCAAGAACATAAACCTCATCAAAGACAATTGGAAATGTTTGTCTCTTATTCAGTGATAGAAATGTGTTTGCCACCACACCTTTCTGAAGGTTCTGATGATGGAGGCGACGGGGAAGCGACTCAAATTTGGCTGTACTCTTTGCCCAGCCTCCCTCATAGTCATACCATGGACAAGGACATGGCCAACCAAAGTGGCTTGAATTTCATCAGAGACTGCTTGTCTTCTTGCCCTTGCCCTTCCTCCTCCTCCTCCTTCTTCTTCTCCTCCTCCTCCTCCTCCTCTTCCTATTCCTCCTCCTCTTCCTCTAACTCCTCCTCCTCCTCATCCTCCTCGACCTATTGCTTAATTTCTCTGTGGATCCATTGTTCCAAAACTCAGTAAACTAATTTTTATCTTTTATAAAAGATTGTATAAGCTTTTATCTATCTATTGAAGGATTTGACTGATGTGTGTTCAATTTTGACTCTTAGTGTTTTCACCTGGGTAATTGTGTGCTAACTGAGCTGAAGCTGTGCTGACTTGAGTGAACAATTTTGAATGCTAGTGCTTTCTAAATGACCATGTGGTGTAGGCAATGAGAAATGAAGGGATTTGTGTGTAGAGTTTTGCTGTGACAGTTCAACAAATCTGACTAATGTGTCAAAACAGGGGAATAGTGTTCATAGTTCAGTGAAATGGGTGTGCTTTTTGATAAATGGCATTATGGTTTTGAAATTTTAGTTAAAAAGCCTGGTTATAGTGTTTAAGCAATCGAGAAAAACTGTAATTACTGTTATGTGTCCGACGTTGTAAAGAGCGATACTATTGTGCAGCGTTTACTTCAGTCCAGCGTTCCAGTCAACTTTTAGACACGCACTTGCGAACTTCCCTAAGCACTTCCCCTCGGGGGAATCCCTGCCACCATTTTGAAGTGCGTTCCACTTCGTGAAGTGGACGAGGGAAGTTTATGGACAGATAAATCCCTCGATTTTGACTGAGGGAGCGAGTCTCCTTCATATGTACACTTCAGGCAGCTCCATATACCACAATGTAACTCGATTGTGAATTTGTGACGTCACCGAAGATCTCGTCTAATCACCACCACCACAAACAACTCTGATATATTAATTATTTTATATTTTTTTAATTTACAACCCAAAAACACCTATGTACAATCATGCTGCATTAAGCAAATTCTTAAAGGGAAATAAAATAAATATAAAAAATCAACTCCATAGCTGATTCCAAGTGACGTTCCAATTAAATTTTAAGGGGGACTTTAAACTAAAAATAAGAAAGTATACTTTCAGTCTATATACTTTTTCATGTAGGCTACTTCTCAGAAATATAGGGGAGAGCGAGGCACAACCTAACAATAGTTGACTTTCTTAGTTTGTGTAAACCTATTTAGGGTTCAGAGTATTATTTTTTACCCGCATTAATTTCACACGTTTAGTACAATTATGTGGTTTTGTTCATTAATACAGTGTATACTTTTTTCTTTATTTACCCCAAAAGAATGGAATTGAAATGTGACAACATGCCCCATTGGTGGGGTACATTGTAACATATGAGGGACACAATGTAACATGTACATATAACAGCTTAAAATGTTATCTGATCTAATAAAAAAATATACAAGACAAACTAAAATATTTTCTCAATAAAATGGCCTACAATTATTAACTTTTTCATATAAAATCATGGCAACATGGCAATAAAAGTAGTTTGTCAACAAGCACACTGCAAAACAGAGCTATACAGCATAGTTCAAAACATAATAATAATAATAAATTAATAATTAATCATTTCTGAACATTAAATCTCAATATTTATTCACCTTTTTCTCATGGTATCTCAATAGAATCCATAAAAGTATGGAAGGCATAGTTCTAATAGGAGCACATTGTAACGCAGTGTTACAACATTCCCCGCCTGCGCAACTGGGATTTAAACCCTGCTAGTGTCTTCTCCTGGTTAGATCAGCATTAAAGAACTATCTCAACTGTTAAATAACAGATATAGGATTAAAATAATATCAGATTTGTCTAATTTTAAATAAACACAAAAACAGAGATGAAAAATAAATGTTCCAAAGATTTTTGAATTTTGCTGCAATTTTTTGGCAACTATTAAATACACAGTTTTGTCATGCTGGCATGTATTGAAACTTTTAAACCATGTGTGTTACAACCAGCCCTCTCAACCCTATACTTAAAATTGTACTTTTTGGCCTATATTTGCTCTAAAATTTTACTTTTTGGCCTATACTTGTATTCAGTCTTTTGATTGAGGATATACTTAAAATTATAATTAAGTATTCTAAGTATACTTGGCTTGTTTCCACCCCGGAATAAAAAAAATAAAAAAAACGTAAAAGATATAAACTCACAATTCTGACCTTTTTTCCCCCCAGAATTATGAGTTTAAATTTGCAATTCTGATCAAAAGTCGCCATTGCCTTTTTTATTTTTTAATCAGTGATGGAAACAAGCTTCCATAATTTAAAATGTGAACTAGAAAAACTTGGGGAAAAATAACTACTGACTGCAAAAAGTGTTTAAAAACTTAAAGACAGTTATAGCACCTGAAATATACATTTTATAAAAAATACAAATTGCAATTAAACATCTTGAGTTGATGTTGATAAACATTGATGGAAATTGTATGGGTCTCTTACCTATAAAAAGGATATCTGTGCCACTGTAATCAAATTAAGCCTGTTTTAAGTATTATTTGTCTGAAACCAAGAACATGTATTTGGCATGCTTTGGTGACCCTTATGTTGTAGCGTCTATTAAAATGTGCAACTCAGACATGAACTGATGTTACTGACTTTACCTTTAATATTTACCTCTGATCTCTTGATTTAGAATCTCCATTGATGGATTCCTTGCAGTGCTACAATGACTTCATGACACATGTACAATGCAGATGGGAGGTCGATCCGCATGTTCTTCCTCAGGCTACAGCAAACAAATCCATCTTTGAACTTCACTACTGGGACAAGAGTTTCAAGTAGGTAAAAGAAGGAAAGAAAGAAAGAAAGAAAGAACGAAAGAAAGAAAGAAAGAAAGAAAGAAAGAAAGAAAGAAAGAAAGAAAGAAAGAAAGAAAGAAAGAAAGAAAGAAAGAAAGACTACAATGGGGAAATTTTACTTTATCTCTCTATCTCTCTCTCTCTCTCTCTCTCTCTCTCTCTCTCTCTCTCTCTCTCTCTCTCTCTCTCTCTCTCCTTCTCAGTAGAGAAAAACGTTGTGACCCGCTCAGAACCAGTGTGCTTTTACCCAATGGGAAGATCTTTCACGAGTGTCGCTTTAACACTAGAAGGTTTTCTAGTAACACAAATCACATTCTATATTTCAAAGTACCCTGTAAGTACCCCGGAGCCACAACCCTCAAAGTTGCTCAGCATGGTGAGTGTGTGTTTTGTACATGCATTATATCCTTCTAAAGCAACTCTGGTGTGGAAAGGCATTTCACCATTATGTGTGTGATTTTAGGAAAAGTTAAGGCCCCTATTGACTTGAAGGAGATGGTGGCTGATGGCGGAGGTCATCTGCTGTCCTGGAAAAGCCCATATCCTGCATCCTCAAATATCACAAGAACTCTTACGTACCAGCTTCAGTATAGCGGTATGCAAGACTGGACTGTGAGTACACACTACAGTACATTGTCAGAAAAATATTTGCAAATACTTTCCTCTATCTACCCCTAAGGGGATTTTTAATTTAAGATAAGGTACTTAACATACTCCCTTAGGATTAGATTCAATAAACATGAAAAAAAAAAAAAATATATATATATTTATATGTGTGTGTGTGTGTGTGTGTGTGTGTGTGTGTGTGTGTGTGTGTGTGTGTGTGTGTGTGTGTGTGTGTGTGTGTGTGTGTTTGTAATAAATTGTCTTCAATACGTATATTTTTCTACAGTAAGAACACATTAAATTTATGAAAAATGACAATACATTTATAATGTTCCAAAAAAGATTTTGATTTCAAATAAATGCTGTTTTTTTTACTTTCTATAAATAAAAGAATGCTAAAAAAAGTAGCATGCTTGCTTTCCACCTAAATATTTATTAAATAAATATTAAAATATTCATCACAACTGTTTTCAACATTGATCTAATGAGCAGCAAATCATGACATTAGAATGATTTCTGAAGGATCATGTGACACTGAAGACTGGAGTAATGAAGCTGAAAATTCAGCTTTGATCACAGGAATAAATTACATTTGAAAATATATTCAAATAGAAAACAGTTATTTTAAACAGTAATAATATTTCACAGTATTACCTTTTTATTGAATTTTTGATCGAATAAATGCTACTTGGTGGCCCTTCTTTAAAAAGCATTCAAAACCTTTCTGACTCCAAACTTCTGAGAGATACTGTATCCTATATGAAATGAAATAAATCGTCTTAAATAAGGAAAAGGCATCAAAGTATAAACACCAAACCCTAAATGGCATTAAATCGCTCACATATTCAAAACATTATCTGATAGCAACATTATACCTTGTGGATATCCTGTCTACAACAATGTCTGTGCTGCAGCAGCTTTGTTTCACTGTAGGCAACTATCAAACAACACAATCTGACACTGTAAGGAAATGTCATAATAACCTCAAACTTTCCCACCTAAGATAAAGCCTCCACATGAAAGAGTGATACTAGCGGTTGAAACTGGAGATAGATCCACTGTCAAGATTGGGATATGTACATGGGTGAATGCTGAGTGCATTTATTTGTGTATTTATGCGATTGGTTAGCCTGACATGCACATGCACAGTGTGTTACTTATGTAATCAGTATATGCCAGTTGTGGAAAAATAAATGGTTATGTAGTTTCGCATGCTGCCAAAATACTTGTGTACTGTATACTGCATAAATATTACAACTTATATTTCCAGTGAATTAAGTAATGGATTATGTATATCCAGCCGGTTGCTATCCGCTTTGCGTTGGGGTCCTGATCCCTCTGTCCAGTTACCCGGATGTGTTATCAGTTTTTACCGGACGTTATCAGGAAATAACATACCGCTGGATGGTGCAATTGACCAATTAGAATTAGAAAGTATTCCACAGAGCCGTGTAATAATTATATATAACATAGGCTACAGCATGATTGCAAGTGTGAATATGTTTTACACAACAGTTCAATAAACAATGTGTTACTATTGAGTAACTTACACTTTAGACACAATACTGACAGTTGTTTGCTCCGCCAAGGACAATATTTCCAAAAGAAGCCACAGAACAACCGACTATTGCTTGTCTCTGTGAAACACACAGTGGTGTTTACTTCCTGAATTAATCAGTATATTTAAAAAAAAAAATCAGTTCAGTAAATGTCGAACACACTCTCAAACGCACTTGTTTCGTTCATGAATGAATCAGGGATTTTTTAGGCAAATCGGTTCAGTGAATGATTCAGTGACGCACTAACAAAGATTTTATTTACATTTTTAGATGCAAACGGCATAATCGAATTAAAAAAAAAACTAATTTGAAAATATGTATCTGTAATTATATATATACATATATATAGCTCACCACCCTTTTGGTTAAGTTTGTGTACAGCATTATGGGTAATGTAGCTTTTCATCATGAATTGAACTGATAAATGCTTTACTTTTGAATTTAAAAATAAGTAAAACAATAATAAAGCAGATGGCTTCAACAGGCATATACAATCAATTAACAGTCTCAGAACTCACAGTAGGTCTGTCTTTAAAGTTATTCATGATGTCAGATTTTATTGGTTGCATGTTATTGAAACATTACCTTTGCTAAGTTCTTATTCTGTTTTACTGGAACAGATTGTGGATAACATTAATGCGTCTGAGTATATGATTGACAAGGAGTCACTGTTGCCCGGCAACCATTATCAAGCCAGAGTGAGGGCGCGGGGTCCTGTAGGACTCTGGAGTGACTGGAGCCCCCTGGTGTCCTGGAATACTCACAATGGTGTTATTTTTGTTTATTTATTTATTTATGTTTGCTAACTATCTAATATATATTATCCTTATTATACTGCAAATACATGTTTTAATGAAGTTCATGGCCTCTTGCAGATGGAGTCTTTAACCTGCAGTGTGTGATTGTGGGAGAAAAAACTGTGACGTGTACCTGGCAAATGAAGACAGACCATTTTGAGTTGATGTCTTATCATCTCTGGTGCAGTGACAGTGATAACAATGAGTGAGTTCTCCATCCATCCCAAACTCATGTGATGTCCCTAATAATTGATCTACAGTGTGATGTCACATCCTGTACATTGACAACCCTTTCTCTATCCCCCAGATCCTCTGTTTGTTGTAAATATCCTCAGCTGCAGTCCCAGGACGTTGAGCTATCTGAGTTTATGTGTTCTGTGAATGTCTCTGACCCTTACCTGTTAACAGTGGAGCTAAAACCAGTGCTATACAGTAGGACGTTCAGAACTGGAGAACACAGTAAGTCTCTGTTGTTTAGTGGAGTCTTGAGTGCCAGTGCTGCCATCTGGAGTTTAGGAAGAACATTCATGTTTGTTCTTCTTCTCTTCAAGTTAAACTTTCACAACCTGACCAGATTCAGGTGATGGAAGAAGATGGCACCTACAACTTTAACTGGTCTGCAGCAGTTGTTCCATCAAAGGTGGAGATGCAGTACTCCACCCAGCTAAAAATCTCGACCAACATCTCGGTGCGTTAGCTACTTTCGGTATCCGTGATGCATTGACTAAATGATTCATTGTAGCTGTGACTGATCACATGCCTGGTTTTACTTTCTTTTTTGTAGGACTCAATGATCATTACCCTTCAAGATGGGGTCAACAATTTTGAGTTTCCTTCTGGGAATCTAAATGCTTCAACTATTTACCAGGCCCAGATCAGATTACTGCCTGTAAATGTACAAGACAACAAGTTTAAAGTTCAGCCATCTGATTGGTCGCAGCCAGCAGAGTTCACCACTAAGCCAGGTAACACTCTGCACTTCTGATCATACAACCCTATTTTATAATGTTGATATATTTCTTTCCTAATTTAATTTTAGACAAATTTGGATAATGTGTCAGTGCCCAGTTAACAATTGAGATGTGCTCACTTTTAAAGTGGTTTAAAATAATGAATTGCTGATTTCTTCCTTGTAAATTCAATGAAACGCAAAACAGAAACTACACACTAAATCATTTAATAAATAATGTTTGAAAAAAGTAAATGATTAATATTGACATATGCGTTGAATTTGGGTAGATTGGGTGAATTTTGAGATTACTATTAAAAAAGTGGCACAGAGCATTTAAAATCACCCTGCTGCATGTTTGTTTATGTATGCATTTATTTGTTTGTTCATTTATTCATTCAGGTATACTTATTGATTGTGTTGTATACTCTGTACTCTTGTATACTCTGTCCTGTGTGTGCATATGTGCTTTTGTGTTTTTTGCATTAAAAAAAAAATCAACTTTATACATGTGTACTTAATTCATAGAGAGATTCTTTTAAAATAACAAAGATGTAAGAAGTTCTGGGAACGTCTTTGTAAAATTATTTAAGCTTATAGGACAACATGAATTGATACCCACAAGACATATCTCAATACATGATGCTTTTTGTGTGTAGTTGTATTGCCCACCAGCTCTGTCATCTACATTTTGGTTCCTGTGTTTGTGGCGGTGCTTTTCGTCATCTTGTACAATGCCCTTCCTGCCTGTCACAGGTAAAACACACCACACTGTGGCATTTATGGATTTATGCATCTATCCAACATTTGATCAATTCATGCATTACCTGGAAATAAAACTCATTACACTGGTATTGCTAGCCCATGGTGAACATTTAAACAAAATTATAAACGCAACACTTTTGTTTTTACCCCCATTTTTCATGAGCTGAACTCAAAGATCTAAGACTTTTTCTATGTACACAAAAGGGCTATTTCTCTCAAATATTGTTCACAAATCTGTCTAAATCTGTCTTAGTGAGCACTTCTCCTTTGCCGAGATAATCCATCCACCTCACAGGTTTGGCATCAAGATGCTGATTAGACAGCATGATTATTGCACAGGTGTGCCTTAGGCTGTCCACAATTAAAGGCCACTCTAAAATGTGGAGTTTTACTGTATTAGGGGAGTCTGAAAACCAGTCAGTATCTGGTGTGACCACCATTTTCCTCACGCAGTGCAACACATCTCCTACGCATAGAGTTGATCAGGTTGTTGATTGTGGCCTGTGGAATGTTGGTCCACTTCTCTTCAATGGCTGTGCGAAGTTGCTGGATATTGGCAGGACCTGGAACACGCTGTCGTATATGCCGATCCAGAGCTTCCCAAACATGCTCAATGGGTGACATGTCCGGTGAGTATGCTGGCCATGCAAGAACTGGGATGTTTTCAGCTTCCAGGAATTGTGTACAGATCCTTGCAACATGGGCCCGTGCATTATCATGCTGCAACATGAGGTGATGGTCGTGGATAAATGGCACAACAATGGGCCTCGGGATCTCATCACGGTCTCTCTGTGCATTCAAAATGCCATCAATAAAATGCACCTGTGTTCGTTGTCCATAACATACGCCTGCCCATACCATAACCCCACCGCCACCATGGGCCACTCGATCCACAACGTTGACATCAAAAAACCGTTAACCCACACGACGCCATACACGCTGTCTGCCATCTGCCCTGTACAGTGAAAACCGGGATTCATCCTCTTCAAAGTGCCAGACGCCATCGAATCTGAGCATTTGCCCTCTCAAGTCGGTTACGACGACGAACTGCAGTCAGGTCGAGACCCCGATGAGGACGACGAGCATGCAGATGAGCTTCCCTGAGACGGTTTCTGACAGTTTGTGCAGAAATTGTTTGGTTATGCAAACCGATTGTTGCAGCAGCTGTCCGGGTGGCTGGTCTCAGATGATCTTGGAGGTGAAGATGCCGGATGTGGAGGTCCTGGGCTGGTGTGGTTACACGTGGTCTGCGGTTGTGAGGCCGGTTGGATGTACTGCCAAATTCTCTGAAAAGCCTTTGGAGACGGCTTATGGTAGAGAAATAAACATTCAATTCATGGGCAACAGCTCCGGTGGACATTCCTGCAGTCAGCATGCCAATTGCACACTCCCTCAAAACTTGCAACATCTGTGGCATTGTGCTGTGTGATAAAACTGCACATTTTAGAGTGGCCTTTTATTGTGGACAGCCTAAGGCACACCTGTGCAATAATCATGTCTAATCAGCATCTTGATATCCCACACCTGTGAGGTGGATGGGTTATCTCGGCAAAGGAGAAGTGCTCACTGACACAGATTTAGACAGATTTGTGAATAATATTTGAGAGAAAAAGACCTTTTGTGTACATGGAAAAAGTCTTATATCTTTTGAGTTCAGCTCATGAAAAATGGGGATAAAAACAAAATTGTAGCGTTTATAATTTTGTTCAGTGCATGTAGATGTTTTTGTTTGTGTGTTTATTTATTCATGCGTGTAATTCTATTAACAGAAGGATGAAGTTATGGAATGGTTCGGTTCCATCGCCCATAAAGAGCAAAGTGTTGGAGGGGATGATCAAGGTGAGTCTTTACTGACTGATTATTTAAAAAAAAAAAAAAAAAAAAAAAATCCTTAATTTCTCCACCCCCAAAATGCACAAACACACAATGCAAAAGTCATAGCTGAAGCGAAGCAAAATAATGCTTCGCGGAAAATAATGCAAAGATGACAAACGAATGACAAAGAAGAAAAAAAAATGAACACACAGCACACAAGACAAGAGCATATGCAAGCAAGAGTTGGTTGTTAGTCGCCAGCAGAACAGCAGCTCCAGACAAACAATGCCAATCAAAACTGTCCTTTTACTAGAGCTAACATTACAACAACTGCATATCTTGGTTCTGTGAAACATAGCAAAACCTGTGTAGCGCACATATGGAGCAGAAACAACGCAACCTCTGCGTCTGTTTTCAGGCCTTACAGCTTAGGTCTCTCCAGCGCTGGAAAGCTTTATTAACGCGGTTCCTAAAGTTCTTGCCTGATCAAAACCCTTCATCTCCCAGTGATATTCCTCTGACCTTTTCTCTTTTGTAATGTCTCTCACCCATCTATCTGGCTGCATCTGAAATCACATACTTATATAGTAGCTGAAAAACATATGTGACAAAAGAAGTAGCTATGTCCGAATTCACAGTACTCATATAGGCAAAAAGTACCCAGATGACCTTCTACTTCCGAAATTCTGAAGTGCGCATATAAGTTCAGGGACTGTGTATTTTGCAACACAACAGCTAAAATGATGGCAAACATGGCTTTTTGTCTATCAGTTTTGTCTTTATTAAGTTTATTCTAAGTAGCTAACTAGTAATCTGGTTATGGTGTAACTAAATTACATATTTGCTTTTTCTATCTCTCTCTCTTTCAGAAGTCTCCCACCGGATGGCCGCATATCATTGAGAAAGAGGCGACCTCTATTTGTGTTCTGCTGGCAACAGACAATCTCAGTATCTGCAAAAGCAGGTAAGCTCTCACTCAAATGAAAACATTTCACAATAAAACAGTTCTAAATTTGGCATGAAATGAATGTGTTGTGTACTTGTGATGTACAGTATATGTACGTATATTTGCATGATCATGGTCTTTTGTGTAGGAATTACAGTATGGTCTCTGCAACAGTAATATTTTAGTATAATTTATATACTAATATCGTATTTATAAAATTTTCTAATTAGCTTTTATTTTCATGGTTTCAGTTTTTTTTTTTTTTTTTTCAATTTTTGTAAATGTTGTACTTTTGCAATTTTTATTACTTTTTGTTTTTTTAATATTTTTATTTAGCTGTAATTTTTATATCAGTTTTACTAATTTTAGTAATTATATAAAGCGCTGTATAAATAAAGGAGACTTGACTTCAGCTTTGTTTCAATTACCTAACTTTTTTTTTAATAGTTTTATTTTTTGTTTTAGATTGTTAATAATACCGTAGCAACACTGCTGTGAAATGTCTTTGCATCCAGCTAATGCCACCAGTTCCACTTTTCTTTGCAAACCCTAAAAAATATGTTGCATTATGGTGTGGGTTGCGTATTGTAATTCATGTCGACTTTAAAGTGCATCTTAAATCTCTATGTCTGACATTATTTTACTTTTATCCATAATTTTGTTACAGTATCACCTGGGAGCCGCTTTTGTTACACACTGAAGATGTGAGTTTAAATGCTGGTAAAATGGGACAGTCATGTGGATCAAACCACTTGTGCACCTACGTGGGGGAAGGCATGTGCAAAGACAAATCAGGCATGAACTTCAGTGGGCCTTATATTCTGTGCTGTGAGGATTCCTGCACTCAGGACAAAGTATTGGACGGGTCTACAGACAGAGATCAGACATCTGTGTTAGGAAAGTCTGAGAGTTTTGCTCCAATAAATGGAGGCTACGTTGTAACTCCTCCCACCGCCATGCCAGCCATTCAAAGCCCCGCCCCCATTGACACTCCGAACAATAACCCATCAGATGAACCTCCAGCCTACACCCCCAGCCCAGATCAGGGCTGTACGGTCCTCCCTCATCCATCCGGATACTTCACGATGCCATGTGTTACCATGAAACAGTCAGAGCCGAGTGGATCGTCTGGAACATAATTATCAAGGACTCCATGTTACTTTGGTGCATTTCTAAAAATAAAATAAATAAAAAATGTAAGTACTCAAAAGATGGATCCAGAGATGCAAGCAAGGGCCATGGCTAAAATGTGCATGATATTGAGCACAATAAAAGCAGATCAAATCTTTGCTTTATTTAAAATGTCACTTTAAAGGGATGGTTCACCAAAAAAATGCCATTACGTATTCCAAACCTGTATGAGTTTCTTTCGTCTGTTGAACTAAAAAAAAAAAAAAAAGATATTATGAAGAATGTTGGTAACCAGACAGTTGACGGCACCCATTGACTTCCATAGTAGGAAAATAAATACAGGAAGTCAATGGGTGCCGTCAACTGTCTGGTTACCAACATTCTTCATAATATCTTCCTTTGTGTTCAACAAAAGAAAGAAACTCGTACAGGTTTGGAACAACTTGAGGGTAAGTAAATGATGACACAATTTTGTGGGGTGAACTATCACTTGAAGAGCTGTCTTATACAGTCTAGCTGCACAGATGAATGTTTCAGATGTAGCCTACATAATGAAAGCTGGTAAAAAAAAACCTCGTTGGAGCTTCAGTAGGACTTGTTAAAGCTGCTGTGCTATGACAGTCTCACCAACAGATGGCAGTAATGTTTTAAATGAATGTAAGAAAAGTCTTATTTTGTTTTCTCTTTTCCACAGTGCACACTGTGGAAAGCAAGGAAAGCAAACAACGCATTAGTCGAAAATGAATGTTTTTGCCTGTGCCTAGCTCACACAGGCGATCGCTGCATTGAATGTATTCTGCTTCGTTGTTAATTCAATTTGAAACGCTTGACATAAAAACACCAAACGTTTTCACGCAGAAATCACAATTGTATCAATAATGCGTTTCAATACCCAACTGAAACCACACACGCAAAACAAGTGAGTAAATAAATCACTTATACTATCGGGGGCCTTAGAAGCAAGTCATATAGGCTATTATTAGAAATGGAAAACCTAGGCCAAATGAGTCTTCAAAGCTGAACTAAATTTAATTTTGGGTAAAAATAAATTACAAAAATTACATTTCTGCGAGTTTGCGTGTAGGCTACTGTTGGCATAAACGGTTTGTTGTATTCTAACATGGTTTGGAGAATGTCACTTTATTCTCAACAAGAGTGAACAGGTTGCACAGAAAGCAACGTGTATGGAATTATTTGTAAATGAGACTGGTAAATGAGTGCTTTTAGTAGTGTTGGCTGTTTTCACCAAATGACATAACATATAGCTATATAACTTAAAGATAAAAAAACGGTGTTGTTTTCCTTACAGCTGAAGTGTCATTCCTATTGTCTTCCATTAGTCGTCCAAATAGACATACCCGCGCCAAACTCACATCATTGATCCAAAGGCTTACGATGTGTCGGAAATTGCATACTGTCTGAGAAGATACTGCATTTGAACTTTGAATTTCCTTTGCGACCGTTTAAAAAGAATGTTCTAAATGAATATAGATATGAATGTAATCCGTACCATAGATATCCATAATAAAGGCTAGATGTCTTATGGCGGAGTCTCTACCGTCATCACCGGCGGCCATCTTGTCACAGGCAAGCTTTCTGGCGGGCTCTGTGGTGCCTGATGTAAGATGAGTGATCAGCACGAACACATATACTCTTATCTCGTTGAAATCTTGGCGGATTTACAAACGGTTTGGTTTCTTACAAACGTTATTAATGTGGCTATAATTCTGGATGATTATTTATTTATTCACTTATTATTCATAAGTATGCAGTGTCATAACTACATCTCTGACGTTTATAACAAACCAAACCGTTTGAAAATCGGTAGAAAATTTAGCAAGTTATGGTTATTTAAAAAGTACATGCACCATTAAAACACAATGTCACAATGACAAGATGGCCGCCAGGTGCGGACGTCGACCTCCATTGGCCAGCAGCGCGGACGAGACATCTAACATTTATGGATATCTATGATCCGTACTACATCTGCCATGTTGTTACTGTCACGTGACCTACCAGCGTCAGTTGCGTCGCTTCACTCCCATTCACAAATCCTCTACCGAGCAGGCCTCATGGGAAGTGTCCATTGTATGCACACTTCAAAATCTCACCGGAAGTAGTATGTCATCCGAGCACTATTCGGAAATACATACTATGCTGGCGTACTGTTTTTCGGGAAGTATTCGATTTCGGACACAGTGACAGTTTCAGATTGGTCAAGATGCTCCAATAAAACACTAATGTTTTGATAGAGCCACGCAGAGACAATCAAGGCTGTGAATGGCTTACATATAATTGTCTCTGGTTAAGGAGAAAGTATTCAAAGTGTTTATTTTCTTACGCTGGTGTGATCGCAAACTATCTGTACTCAAGCACAATGTATTAAAGATTTTTCTAAAGCTCAAGAGTGCCTCTTCTTCCACACATACTTAATTTTAGTGTGTTTATGTGTGTTTATCTCCGTCTCTCTCAGTGTTTCATATGTGTGTTTTTTGGCAGACTGGAGTTTATGGAATATGTCTGTATCATCGGTTTCACACAGAGCAGATGTGATTTATCGCAGACTAATCTAATCCACTCTGCACCTCATATTAGCTGTGTGTGTGTGTGTGTGTGTGCGTGTGTGTGTGTGTGTGTGTGTGTGAGTGACAATGTTTTAATTATGCCACCATAAGTCACTGAAAAAAGAGTTTCACACATGTACACGCACAATGTTTTTTCCCAAAACATTCCAGATAAATTCTGATCTTGCTCCTGAAAGCAGATACATACCACACAAAGACTTTAAGATCCATTGTTTAAGAATGAATGAGAGAGAGAGAGAGAGAGAGAGAGAGAGAGAGAGAGAGAGAGAGAGAGAGAGAGAGAGAGAGAGAGAGAGAGAGAGAGCAAAACCAAGAGGGAGAGGTGAAATGTTCTTGCTAGACAACATGTCCCCTTTGCTTTGTTGTAAATAAACAGGAAAGCCTTCAAGGCGTTTGGAATCTATGGCGAAATGAGACCATTATGCAATCACAGGGTCTTCCATATGAGTAGCAATAATGCAATTTCAAATACCTTTACTAGTCAATAATATCAGTACCTGAAGAACAAATAAGTTTCAGGCCTACCAGGAGAATATTTAATGTAAAATAAGAAAAAAACCCAAACAGAACGATTACAATTTTGGACACAGCCACAACCAAATTCATGTTTTAAATTTTAATAAAGTCATCCGTGTAAACATTAATGACAAAGATTGATGGAACTGTCTTAAAAATGGTCTTACCCTTACATAAAATACGTTTATTTCAGTTTTCTATTAATGCTATTACACATCTTCCAAAGGAGTACTGAATCTCCCCGGTAGTAGAACACAGCAGACGAAGAAGCAGAAACAACCATTCCTTACATGTATGTATCTGACGTGATCATCATTCATTAAACAGCAGATAATCAAAACTGCCTGACGTTATACCGAATTAAATGTCGACCCAGGACAAGGTAGGACTTTGAAGCTTCGGGGGTGTTGATGGACACGATCTCCTACGATTTTTTGTTACATTAAAGGGGTCATATAATGCCATTTTTGTACAAGCTCATATGATTCTTTAGGGTCTAAATTAAAAGTGTGTAATATACTTTAATTAAAAATTCTCATTAGTATTGTAAGAAAACACTTATTTTACCTGGTCAAAAACAGCTCTGTTTTCAGCACGCCGTTTCAGTGCATATGACTTTAAATGATAATGAGCTTTGCTCACCCCGCCTCTCTGTTCTGCGCATACACCGTTTGTAACACAATAACACAATACCATAACGCGTTGTTCATTATAAACGTGGGATTATGAATTATATTGAGAACGTTGTACATAGAAAACATGCTGTAATGTACCCTGAGTGTAAACCGAGTGTAAACCATCGTGAAGCGTGCAGCTGGCGATTTGCAAAGATTAATATAAATATTAATATAAAGATTAATAAAACGTTACACTCACTTTAGTTCTTCTGAAGGTTCAGCAGGAAGACGAATAGGTTCCGATCCTTTATTCTGGTGCAGCTTCTCAGCAAAACCAGCTTTACACTGATCCTCGTTTATAAAGCAGTCCACTGAGAAATGATTCGGCAAACATGAAAGCATTGACGTTGCTCGTGGGGAATATTCCCTTCGAAAACAAACTCAGCCACTGCGTCTTCAGCGGTTCGGATTTAGGAACATTAAAATGACTGCTGTGTTCGTTATTGCACCCAAGAACAGAACACCACAATCGCTTAGACGCCATTCTGCTCATAGACAGTGCTCCAGCATATCAACAATGACCGCGCCGATCCGCGCGGACTATGATTGACAGGACGAGCGAGGGCGGGTCTGTGTTGAATCGCTGCTGTCAATCAACAATCGCGGGAGGGGCGTCCGTTTTATTGACGTCACAAAAACGAACGGCTCAATTTGAGGCAGGGGAAAACATATAAGGAGATTAAAACAAAAACACTGGATGGATTTTTATCATTATATGATGGTTGTGCACAGACACTGCCAACACACATTTCAGTACAATCAACTTGTAAAAGTGCATGTACCATTATATGACCCCTTTAATGTGAGTGAAAAGGCTTCTCGAACAAGAAAAAAATGTAGGGCGGGACTTGATTTTGATCCGCCCTCGCGTCAATAAACACATCATCAGAGAAGAGAAGATGCTGCAAGAGGGAGGGGAAGTTACTTTGATTAAAGCTTATGAGGATTTAAAATAATAATAATGAAAGGAAAGGAAAAAAAAAAAAAAAGATTTGTACATTTTGATTTTATGCTGACTTTAAATATATTCTAGTCAGATCATGCAGATATCTTAACAAATGTTAAATTAGTAACACAATAATTCTTATTACTTACAGTACGTTCTTGTATTACACTTACCATGACGTGGGAAAATATCTTGTAAATTAAAAATACATAAACCGTTGTGCCACACAGTTTTACATAGATAGACCTCAACAATTAGCACACAAACCTAAATGGTGGTAGTCAACACAATATATATATATATATATATAAATTGATATAATATA